TCAAATAAATAAATAAAATCTTTAAAAAAAAAAAGAAAAAGAAAAAAAAAAGAAAGGGTAAATCTGGGATTTTCATCCTTCATTGTAGGAAGCATCCATCCCATCTTCATTTTATAACAGCCTCGGCAGCTCTGTCTTGCTCACAACCAGTCACCTACCGTGAAAGGAGGCTCTTGAAGTCTGTGGTTTAAACTCCAAATATCACCAGGCTGAAAACTAAACCAATTCTGCATGTTCTTGTCTTACGCTGAGAATAGTTAATAAAAGTAAACACTGCAATTACATAGGTATTAATAACCCTCTGTCAGTGGGTCTTTTTTTGTTTGCCAGAGTGCCAAGAGGGTTATGGCAGCAGAGGGGTCTAATAGAGTATCTTCATGGGTTAAAAATGAAAATTACAGGCAGATAATTATCTTTGGTATAAGGTTACACAAACATGTGTGGTCTGTAGATTAAAACACACAAACACACACATGGCAGTGTGTACAAAATAACGAAGATCAAAATCAAGTTATATTTCTTTTCGTCAGAAGTCAATCTTCTGTTCATGCAGCCAAGTTTTCTTGAGGTTGTGCTCAGGATATTTGTCCACATTTTGATTTTGTAATATTTTTCACACAGACATGAGAGGATAGATAGCTTACATTAAAGAGCATGGGATATGTGCCATTTTATTGCATCAGGTAGAACACACATGCAGAGGCCTCTCCAGATTTCTAGGTATTCTGCAACCTTGGTGTTTGTTTTTCTGTATCATACTCGTGTTGACCTTTCAAGACAAATACTGGTCTGTGATACCCAAACCCCACCACCAAATTTTCAAGTGCAATCCACTCATATCTGAGGCAAATAAAAGGAATAAAAGCAAAAGGAGGTTGAAAGCTAGCTATATTTTGTAATACACATATCTTAAATATTCTGAAGCTATTTTTCACATTGCAATCCAGTTTGAAGGCTATTAGAGAAAATCAGATTCATCTATCAAGCACCCTCTTAGATAAGCTTTCTTTCTTGAATGCAACTAGGACAGTGCTAATTATGGACTGAAAAAGATAAATCCTTTGCCTACATATGAAAAATATGAATGGTTTCTGTTTGCAGGAACGCCACATGCCCTTACATGACTAAATGTGTCTATATTTATTTACTTTTAAAAATTAAAAGTGCCTGAAAAAGAATCTGATGAGAAATGATGAAAGTTACAGAAACTCATGGGGAAAAAATGTATTTGGAGACTCAAGATGGTCTTGATTTTGCTCTGAGAATTTTCCACAATAGCTTTATATCGATGTATTAGAGCCCAGGGACTGATGAGTCTACACAGCCCCTGCCTGATAGGCTGCATGGGACTTCGCAGATTCAGAAACCCAGTGGGGGAAAATGAAACTATTTTGCAGGATTTGAGATAAAAACCAGCTCTTTTCTTTTCTAGGTGGTGCAGTGATGCTGCTGGTTTATGAATACACCTATTCCTGGCTTCAGGAGAACTGGTGATTGCCTAGGAGATATTGAGATCATGGATGTTTGCTCTACAACACCATGAGGAGAGACTAGCAGCTCAGCTGATATGATTATAAATTATAATTATACAATTACGTACAATTATTAAGGGGAAACAGTTTATTCAAGAACAAAACCTATTTTGATACTTCAAAAATTATCTCTACACAATTTGAGACTGTAGTTTTATCTATATCCATAAATCTGTGCAAAGAAAAATAGTTTGAAGTAATGAGGTATATAAATCGAACACAGAAAATAGCATAGAAATCAGATATATTTCATAAAAGCTATATAAATAAAAAATAAAAAATAAAAAAAATAAAAATAAATAAAAATAAAAAATAAAAGCTATATAAATTTTGTGATCTGTATTCCTCTTACACTGCTTCGTGAAGAAAATTCATTGTATCGATAATTATTTTTTCCCACGAGGTCAAGAAATGCTTAGAGTAATAAAAAAATTAAGCCAAAATTTGAACAGTTTTTATAAGGAATTAAATTCTCCCATAAATAATATTTAAAAGGCACAAGGAAAAGTACACTAAAATGGCATTTTTAAAATGTTGAATTTTATGTTAAAATTTAAATCTGGTGGTGTTCTTTGAGTAATAATACATTATCACAGCTATATTTTCCCAAAGCTACTTTATATTTTGCACTGTTGTTTAAAGCAGGTCATATTTTTAAATCCTGATACGTGAAGTTTTTTACGGCAAATAGAACACATGAAATTTCCTTCACATAATTCCCTTTGAAAACAATTTTTGTTGCTGAAATATTTTCATGTTAAAACACAAATTGGAACCACTCCTTGGGCCCATTTGTGCTGTCTGTATTTGCATCCAGATATCTTTTTTTTTTTAATAAGATTTTTTATTTATTTGCGAGAGAGAGAATGAGAGACAACCAGTCTCTCATTGGTCTCTCATTAGCATGAGAGGGAGGA